TGCACCTTCGTTTGGCCACCAGAACTCAAGCGCCAGCCATGGTGATGGTGTGGGCCACCATAACAGCCGATCGTCGCTCTCCGCTCGTATTAATTGACCGTGGCATTAGAATAATTGCCGAATATTATCCCGAAAATATTCTGGAGGGTATATTAAAGTTTTAGGGACGCAAACATTTTGGCCGCAGACCTTGGACATTCCAACAGGACTCAGCACCATCGCACTCAGCACGCGCCACCCAAGAATGGTTACAAAATGAGGTTCCTCGATTCATTTCCAGCACATAATGGCCACCAAAATCTCCGGATACCAATCCGTTGGACTATTGTGTCTAGAGTATTTTGGAAAGCAAGTTTGGCAATAAAAAATACCAAAGTGTCGATCACTTCAAGCAAGCGCTTCACCGGGAATGGGCCAAAATACCGCAGAGCAACAAATCTAAACTTATTTTAGAATTTGATGCTATTTCCGACAGTTTTTTGTTATCTCATTCTGTATATGGATTTAGGTAAGATTTAGACTCTTGGCCTCTTCTGGGACTCTTAGGCGTATTTTAAGACAAATAATTTTGCAGAATATTTTTTTCCTGCTCCGATTCCGTTTAAAGAAATTTTCTACAAAATATTTTTCGTATTTTTGTCTGTTACATCGCCGAAGACACTTCATAACAAAAATGCACGAATTTCGGAAATTTCTTAAAGAGTGGAAGAGGGGGAATTTGTCCCCTTTATTTAATTTACTTAGCAATTTAAACTTTCAACAAGCGCATACGCGTATCTTCTTTTTATACCCTCCACCATGCATTGTATAGAAAATATATTAAGTTCGTCATTCCGTTTATAACTCATCGAAATAATAATTTCAGACCTTACAAAGTATTTATATATTTTTGATCAGCGTGAAATTCTAAGACGATTTAGCCCTGTCCGTCCGTCTGTTGTAATCATGCTAGAATCAAAATGAAGAAAGATAGGAAGCTAAAATGTTGCACCTATCTGTCTTTTGTCCGCAGGCAGGTCAAGTTCGAAGTCTACCGGTCTATATTCGGCTTTTTTATGATTTTAACCACATTCTACACAAGGTGCTCTCTGTGAGTACTTTACCCCCTGAAAGAGAATTGTCTATGTAGGTCCAGGATATCGTATAGCCTCCATATACCGGTACCTGCCAATATTCGGTATTTTGTTAATTTTAGCGACATTATTTCTCGGAGCTGTTTCAAATTTCGTATTTAGAGTTTGTAATGGGTACTACAGCCTATGACAAAAAACCCACGTCCTCGTATAGCCTCCATATAACGGTACCTGCCAATATTCTGTATTTTTTTTTTTTTTTTTGGTTTTAGCAAAATTATTCACCGGAGTTGTTTCAAATTTCGCATTTAGAGTTCGTACTAGGTACTACGGTCTATGACAGAAAAATGTCTATGCAGGTCCACGTCTTCGTATATCCCCCATATAACGGTACCTCCCAATATTCTGTATTTTGGCGTTTTTAGATACAATATTGACCAAAATTGTTTCAAATTTCGTATTTTGAATTCGTAATGAATACTACAGCCTATGGCAGAAAAATGTCTATGCAAGTCCACGATCTCGTATAGCCCCATTTATAGGTATCTCCCTATATTCGGTGTTTTGACGATTTTAGATACAATATTCACCGAATTTTCAAGTTTCGTGTTTGAATCTTGTAATGGCCTATGACTAATATTGCCCATGCTGGACCAGGTCATTGTATGGACCCCAATATAACAGCTATATATCGTTGCAAATTGTGGAGGGTATTCATAGTCCGGCCGCGCCGAATTTACTACTTTTTTACTTGTTTTTGATGGATTCTAAGATATGAAGCTGACGTTTTTGGGTAATACAAGCATTTCACCATTGTGGGGAAGTTAAATATGTGTTTACGCTACGTTGAATTTTAGGTAACGCTGTTATAGAAATTTCCATCTAATATTGAGCGAGATTTGAGGCACAGGATGTGGTAAAATATTCAGAAATTAACTAATATTATTTAGAATTCTTTTTTTTTTAATATTCATACGACATGAACAACGAGCACAGTCCCACAATAACTTAATGGTACCAGATCGAAACGCAGCATTATCTAAAGACAAGAATTGGACAAAAAAATTGATAATAGTTTTCAAAACTCAGTTTCTACATATGTATATACGTAGTGCTAATTCAAATGGTATTATGCCCTAATTTCACACTTCCATTATTAATGCTTTACATCTGAACAAAAAATGATAATTTTCAATGGCGTGAAAAGAACATGTTTCCATTAAATTATTTCATTTAATTTTCGTTAACGCTAATCTAATTCCAATTGTAGTTAATAATTTCATGGCCAACAAAGTTTTCCTTGGGCCCAAGAAGCGTAAGCCGCCCATTGAAGTGATCTACTTAGTTTACAATCTCCTCGGGTATCGATAAAGAAATCTCCAATCGCTTTTCAATGATGGTCTCTCTGGGCCAACAACAAAAACAACAAATCTTCAATTTTAATCGTCGAATAGTTTTAAATTAATAATTGAAATGTTCACAGCATTATAGTGCAAATTTTGACTGGATGATGATAACTCGATATAGTCCGGTGATTTACCTAGTTCTTAGTTTTTTTTTTTTACGTTTGTCTTGTTTTTTTTGAAGTCTCATTCATTTATCCGTCTATCGGCCTGTCTGTCTGTTTTTGTGTATTTTTCATTGAGTTTGTGTTTATTTTTCTAACAATTTATTGTATAGCATATATCGTTACTGCTGTTTTTGTTGTTTTTTTTTTATTAATTTAACGCATATTATTGCCGGCATTGTTATTGAATATTTAATAAAGGCCAATAAAAATCCAGTTACTTTTTATAACCGTGTTTTGTTTTTGTTAGTTATTAATAACAAACTTGTCTATGAATTTTCGCTGGAACACACAACCGCCCAACGACAAATGAAATGCATTGAAGAATTCCATGTGGCGAATAACTTATTTGCGGAATTTATTTTTTTAATTTTGAGAATATTTTTGATTTAAAAATTAAAAAAATGAATCTCAAATAGTCCTGAAGAGAATTTTTGCCAGAAACCATGATCAGATATGATAGGAGTGTTTCCGAAATATGACCAGAACAATTATTCTTGTAACTAACATCATTTGTTTAGGTCCATGCTGCTTATAAACTGTGGGCATAGAATACCATCAAGCGGTTCGATTTTCCCGTTCATACCCCTCAAGAAGAATTAGATCATTCATCTGGTTAGATAGTTATTAGGTTAGTTAGGTTAGGTTAGGCTGAAAAGAGGGGCGAAACAATCCGCGCATGCCCTGGTGGGCACACACTTAACCCAATATAGGACTGTTGTGCGCTCTAGACTAAAGGTTTTCCAAAGAAGACGGGCAGTTTACAGTCAGTTATATTTGAAATTCAGGTGCCTTAATGAAATTCCTTAACTGTTTTATATCATTAACCATGATCTGATTAAGGTCTGGCATGGAGTCGCTCCCTAAGAATTGGGATCTGATATTTGCAAACGCTGGGCATTGGCAGGGAAAATGTTTCAAAGTTTCGTCATCTTCCTCGTATGCCCTGAATACATATTCTATAATCTGCACATCATATCTTGTACAGATTAGCTTGTAGGCCCATGTGTCCCGTAATGGGGCACTAATCTACTTCTTATCTAGTAATAAAAGGTTCTTCGTTTTTTATCTCGTTGGGGTCGCCCCATAGGATTTTTTGTCTTTCTGTCTTTCTTTGTCTTTCTGTGTGGGCGTTTTTTGGGGCATGTCTTTAATACTAGACGTGACGCATTAAGCGATACTGTATTGTCTTAGTTTATTGTTTCTAATTCCTTTCCTCTTTATGGCGAGAGAGTTCGCTATTTCGTTACCTCTAACTCCCGCATGATCTGGTACTCATATAATTATGGTAGCCGATATTGTGTCTGGACCTCCAATTTAAGGATCGTATTGTGATCGGACAAGCAGAAAGAAGTTACGGTATTTGGTTCTTCAATAAAAAAAATCCCAGTCCCGCTCTTCTCCCTAGCACGTCTGTATAACAACAGCTTCCAGTCGGCATTTGTGGTAGGAATCCGTCAATTGTTTCAGATATCCGATCCGATACAAAGTTTTCTATTGATTCTGTTACCTGTAAAATTTTTTGATGGGATCTAACGTGGCTTTAACTTATCCACTCGTCCGTCGCCCTTTTTATTATTTTACATTTGCAAAGCAGAAAATGAAGCGAAGACCTGGTTGTGCTTTGGTCTTAAAAGTCCTTAAATAACCAAAACAAAAATACAGTGGATTTATGTTTGGTCTACGAAACAATACACCACCTTGCGTAGAGGTCAATAGATTGCGAACGAAATAAAACTCTACTTGTTTTGATTAAATTCTTCTTTGCTTGTTGGTCAGAACTAAAATAAGATCAAATACTTTCCCCATTTCCCCATCGGAGCAAAACGACACCCACATAATCGTAAGCAGCTCAGTCTGAGCAAAATTCTAAACCCTGTCCATCGTCGCATTATAATTGTGTTTTTTTTTTTTAGAAAAAAAATCCACTCAAAGCTGCTTTATACCGGCGCCTATAAAACGCGTTTTACAGAGATCTGTCATTTATTTGAAGTATAATCAATGGAATTGGCAATTAATTTATGCGTTCGTTTGCTTTAAAAATGCTTTTAGACTGAATCTTGAATTCTAAGTTAATCAATAATAATTTATGTACAAGAACTTTTTGCTATTATTGGATTAGCTGGTGGCGCCCAACATTAATAATGATGTATATATGTTTTAGCATTGGAAGACTGCTAGTCCCTTCATTTAAGTGGCTTTGACTGAACACATCGATGTCTGAGCGTGGATCATAACCTTTATACATCAGCTTAGATACCGCCCATAACCATTTTACTTCGTCAAGGAATATTTTTAACCCCTGTAGCCCTAAGGTTAAGGCGATATTAAAGGAATAAAACAAATTGCCATTAACTTACCTTTTCATTTCGTGTTAAAAATTCCCAAATGGGTATCGATGAGGCTTGGGCCGACATTTGCCTAAAGGAACTGTGGCCGGCCACAGTTAGGAATAGGCAAAGTGCCAAAGAAACTTTCGCTGCGTTTAACTTTATAGCCATGGTGATGTTGATGGTGATGAATAAACTATAGTTTATGTTGCTGGTTTATTGGTGTTGTGGTTGTTGTTTTTGTTGTTGTTGTTGTATTACTTGAACTTTGTTATCGTAGGTTGTTGTGAGATTTTTTATCTTTCAAATATGGGGCCAAAGTTGGATGTAGGCAAAAAGACACACTCACACACAAATACACCAAACAATTTTTAAACAATAATAATCTATTGTATAATGAAATAACAAAACAAAAGATGTTTTTGTGTTTTTATTTTTTTTTTTTTTTTTTGCTTAAATATGGAGTCAAGCTGAAAACTTTCTTTTTTGTATTTCTTTTCAACGCCTTTGTTGTCACTCGATGAACTGACCAACGAACAGCGAGCGATTGATGGAAACCGAAAAAAATTAAATTCAATTGACTGATGAAATCGCCTGAAGTTGTATCTCAATTTTTGGATTGCTGCTATCGACAGCCCACTGACAGATTGAACTGACGACAAGTGATGTTTATGATTTCAAGTCAGGTAATATTCAAATTAAATGAACTGAAAAAAACGTTCACTTCAGTTGTTATTGTTGTTATGCTTTTTCTTAAGATAATTCTGAGAGCAATTAAATGTTGTTTTATTTTAAATTTGTCAGCAACAATAGTTCCGTTTATTTATTGGAATTCATGTGCATCTATCGATTAGTTTGTTGGAAAAATATCAAAACACGCACTCGATGCAGATCAACACACGTTTGCTTGTAAATATTTTATTTTTGTAATTCTCTTGCAATTCAGTTCACTTTTTTGTTTGATTTTTTTTTTTCAAAATCTATTTATTTTTTATCACTCGCTCGGATATTTATTTGATTACTTTTGTTTTTTTTTTTTGCTTCTTGTGTAAATTCGAACGTCGTTATGTGAAGAAGACTCTGTCTGTTGTGAATCTTCTCGAGCTTCGAAACTTTTATTTATAGTCTCTCTCTTTGCAGTTCTCGCCAACAAATATTGGTCTCAATTACTCTCTCAATAATGGCTTAACATTGTAGTTGTTTTGCTTACACATTGGGCGCCGTGCCTGTTTTAAGCCGTTCATTGCATGATTTGCTTTTGTTTTGGTCTTTTTTATTGGGAGTGAGTTAAAGAGAGCCAATGAAGATGTCTCAATTTTCACTGATGACTTCGGCACAGGGTTGCCAAGATCGTAAAAATTAGTCGATTGGATAAGCATAAGAATTCTTTAGACTCCTGAAATGAAATACTGCGTTCGAGCAAATACAACACTTGAACATTATGAACGGGAAAATTAAATGAAAATAAACCAAAGACTGTATAACGGGACCAACGAAACTAAACAAATGGTCTCGAAACAGTCCAATATGACGTTCAGGGTGGTCAAACGTAAATCTAGGGAATGTTTTAGTGCAACAATAAAAAAGAAATAAATGGTGATTTTTTTAAGAGATACGAGAAAGTTAAAAAGCGCCTCAAATGGTCCATCTGCTTAGTCCATATTTGCCATGCTCTTACCAACATTTCGGCCGGTATCTCACAAATAAATACTTCAATTTTGTCTTTTACTTTGTCAATTGAAGCAGGCTTGTATATACAGACATAAGCTTTAACATATCACCATAAAAATAATTTTCCAGAAAAAAAGTTATTAGTGATGGAATTCAAGCGTGATAGTGTGATTTCTTTATATTTGGCTGGAAAACCACAAGTGGCTATCACTAGAGCACTCCAGCATTTAAATGTGAATAAATCTTTTAGGTCTCGTAACATCGCTCGTTACCGTAATAATGGTAGCGTAGCCCGCCGTTAAGCAAGTGAATGGAAGAAAACAGCAACAGAAATGGTTTGAAAAGTAAAGTAGCGACTTGATCGGAACCCGCTTGGCAGTGGCCGAAAAATGGCTCGTGAGCTGAACATATCGCAATATTCTATTCGCAAATATTGAAAAATGAGCTCGAGGTAAAGCCATTGAAATTCAAAAAAGTGCAAGAACTTACACCGCAACAGAATGAAAATAGACTCAAAAGAGCTAAAGAGTTGCTTTGCTTAGCCGAAAGTGGTGAACTGAAACTGAAATTTGTTTTCTCCAATGAGAAAACATTCGTTGTCCAGTAGTTTGTAAACAAACAAAATAATAGCGTTTACTTGCCGAATAGGTCAAGTAAACCTTCGGTTGGCTCAAGCGCCGGCCACGGTGATGGTGTGGGGCGCCATAACAGCCAATGGTCGCTCTGCGCTCCTATTATTCGGCCGTGGCATCAGAATAAATGCCGAATATTATCGCGAAAATATTCTGGAGGGTGTCTTGAAGCCTTGGGCCGCAAACATTTTGGCCGCAGACCTTGGACACTCCAACAGGGCTCAGCACCATCGCATTCAACACGTGCCACCCCAGAACAGTTACAAAATGAGGTTCCTCGCTTCATTTCCAGAATGGTCACCAAAATCTTCGGATACAAATCCCTTCAACTATTGTGTTTGGAGTATTTTGGAAAGCAAGGTTGGCACTAAAAATACCAAAGTGTCGATCACCTCAAGCAAGCGCTTCGCCGAGAATGGGCCAAAATATCGCAGAGCAACATTCGGGCAGCGTGTGAACAACATTTGAAGGCCATAATTCGTGCCAAAGGTGACCAATTCGAACAAATCTAGACTTATTCTAAAATTAGATGCTATTTCCAACATTTTTTGAATTCATTCAATAAAATTTAAAAAAATGTAAAAATTTTGGCGTTTGTCTTTGTTGCAGTTTATTGTTTATCTGTATGAACCTCACTTAGATAGTATTTTTACTTTGGTCTACCCAATGTAAAAAATTTCTCTATTACTCGAGGACCCCTACACCGGCTTCGAAATTTAAAGAACTCTTTTTTATGGCTATTTGTGACAAAACATATAATATTTATCTCCGTCAGGCGTTTTAAGATATTAGAGGCTTTGTTCTCTATCAAGAGCCTGTTTCCACGATCTGATTGTGTTGTTGTTCTTAAGACATGTAACATATGGTAACGAGGAAAGTGTTCCTTGTCACTCTCAAACCAGTTTTGCTATAGCTCTCATATATATTTTCGACCGATATCATATATTTGATGCATCGATCACATTTTTTATGTCAAATTTTACTGAAATTTGGAATGTGTGATGAAATTTGGTCTAAAATTTTATTTGTCAAATAATTTTGAAATCGTTTCAAATGTGTATATAGCTCCCATATATATTTTCGGCCGATTCATGTATTTGATGCACCAAACAAGCTGTGTATCCCCAATTTCGATGAAATTTGAAATGTGTAAGGGAATTCAGAACAAATATAAATTTGCTAAATTGTATTGAAATGGGTTCAGATTTGGAAATAGCTCCTATATATATTTTCGGCCGATTTCATGTATTTGATACACCAAACACGCTATGAATCCTCAATTTCAATGAAATTTGGAACAAAAAAATTCGAAACGCATAAAAATTGGCTAAATTACATTTAAATCGGTTCAAATTTGTATATAGCTCCCATATATATTTTAGGCCGATTTCATGTATTTGATGCACCAAACACGATATATACAGGGTTGCCCATATTCGTCGGACCCATATGGCAACGCCATAACTTTTGACAGAGATGTCACATCGCTTAATGACATACCGCGTTTGAAGCGTCAGTCCAAGCAGATTTTTACCATGCAGATTTAACCAATACAAATTTACATTCAACAGAAGAAGTCAATTGTGAAAACTCAACGTGCTTTTAAAACATTAAAAAATGTGAGAAGTGCGCCTTTTAAGAACACCATTTAGCGTTTATACGAAAAATTTTCGACTGGTAAGGCTCTTTCTAATCCGAAGAGGCCATATAAAAGTCGACCAAGGCGATCGGCCGAGAATATCGCTGCCGTACGAGCCAGTGTTGAGAGGTCCCCAAGAACATCCCAAAAACGCCGTTCTCAGCAGTTGGGCATGGCTCGGTCCACTTTACAACGGATTATTCGCATTGATTTGCATTTGTTCCCGTACAAAATTCAATTGACGCAAAGAATGTTGCCTGCGGACAAGCCTCGTTGATTGGAATGGGCCCAAAGGTCCGTCGAATATTGGCAACCCTGTATGACAGATTCCAATGAAATTTGGAATAAGTGGCGGAATTTGGTACAAACATACATGTTGGCAAATTATATTGAGATCGCTTTAGATTTGGATAATATTTTATTAAGAAACATATTCCTACCACTCCTTTGCAATGACATTAGGCTAGCAGTAAAAAATATCTACACAACGATTTAATTGAGGCTACGATTCTTACGGGGAAGTACATAGGTTCATATCTATTGCCGTTAAACTTTAAAAGCATGCAGCATGCTTAGCATTTGCTATGACAATCATTAAATCCCAAAAAACAAACTTTTCGTGCATTTGGTCTAAATTTGACATGTTCCTGCTTTTCTCATGGTCAGCTGTGCCTGGCAGATTTTCGCGTTGGTAGACCGAGAGACTGGTTTGTTTACGCTCCTGAAGGAAAAACAACAACATTTATATCTTAAAGCATTACAACAAATAAGTTTTTTACATTTTTATATTATATATTTTCAATTAGTTTTATTTTTATTTAAAACCACAATTTTGAATGCATTTCAGTTCAAAAGGGTTTAGCTAGTTATTTTATAAAGCATGGCAACTTTTTTGTGGGGAAATGATTCATTTGCTCCCACTTCTTCTCGAATGTCTCTTGAATCTCTTTTAAATGGCGAGAGAAATTTCCACAAAACAAAATAAAAACAGAAATAATTCTATGAGAGAGACTAGAGAGGCGCATATTAAGCTCCTTGTCGGCCTAAGAGAAGAGTGCAAACGGGTAAAAGGAAGCCTAGATTTGTGTTTTTGTTTAGTTTTTGTTGTCTTTCTCAAAACTTGTCCTACTCGTATTTAGAAATTGCATTCGAATTTAAAGCAACAACATCTACAATAGCACAACACGGTAAAATGGGTAAAAATAAACATTTTATGGCAGTTCAAAGTCAAGTTTTCTACTTTTTTTCAGTTTGAACATTTTTTTGGGTTGTGTTGTTGTTGCTGCTGCTGCTCTTTGGTTGTGGTTTAATTGTGTGATCGTGAAATGTAGATTAGCTCACTGAGTTTAGATAATATCGATATGGCTGCGATTTAGAATTTGTTGATGATTTGGTTTAACCCATACGCGGGTGGGGAGACTATTGTGTATAGAATAGAGAAGAGGAGAGTTTAACATTTGCATTGGATGGAGTTTAGGGCATGTGACATTTGATGTATTGATTAAATGCTAGTAATCAATTCGGTTAAGTATTCCACAATGAATAGTCACTATTTAAAAATAATTTAAGGTTTCTCTAGTCCTCCGGATGCATATATAAAAGTTTCTCTATCCCCGAGGATCACAAAATGTTTAAAATTGTGTACCTAGTTTTTCCCCCAAACATTTCCAATTTTCCTCCCTCCGATTCCCATGCGTCATTCAGATTGTGTTATAAATTATGTTTTAATTAGCGTGTCGTTAATTTTATAAAATTACAAAAGAATAACAAAAATCAAACCCCACCAAACTGATTGTTGAATTACAAAAACGAATATTTGAATATTAATTTCAGCACAGTACACATTCACACACATTCCCATCGAACGGCACCCAAAATGTGAATAAAATTTTGGAATTTCCCCCAAACGTAAAACGTTTTTTCCTCTTGCCATTAAAAATTGAATTGAAAGTTCTTAAACAAACAAATTTTTTTGAGTTTTTTTTTTTATTTTGTGAAACATTTACATAAATCATTTAAAGTTTATAGATGTGTATGGGAATTAAATAAAACAATTGGTGGGGTTTTCTTATTCTGAAATAATATCGAGAAGAATGTGTGGTTTACCCATCAATTGTAGAATAGTATGAAAAGAGGGGAGTGAGAT